GAGCCCTCACTGGGCTAAACTCGGGGACAGGAGCCCTCACTGGGCTAAACTCGGGGACAGGAGCCCTCCGTGAGCTAAACTCGGGGACAGGAGCCCTCCGTGGGCTAAACCCTGGGACAGGAGCCCTCACTGGGCTAAACTCGGGGACAGGAGCCCTCCGTGAGCTAAACTTGGGGACAGGAGCCCTCTGTGGGCTAAACTCGGAAACAGGAGCCCACTCTGGGCTGGATTCAGGGACTGGGAAGCGCTTTAGAGGAGCTGGCACTGGAGCAAACTCGGGGGCTGGAGCCGACCTCCTTCTCCTCCTTAGATTCCCCTCTAGGTTCGGGGTGAAAGGCATGGTCGGCGGACTTGACTGAGAAACCGTCAGCGGGCTGGAGAGTACCGTGACCGGTGGGCTTGACTGAGGAATGGCCGGCGGGCTGGAGAGAGCCGCAGAGAGAGACCTGCGGCCAGCGGGCTTGTCAGCAGAGATTCCGGCGGGCTTGAGCGAGCGGTGGCCCACGAACTTGACTTTGGAGCGACCTGCAGGCTTGACTGAGGAACGGCCGGCAGACTGGCCGACGGGTTTGATGGCGGGCTGGTTCTGGCTCGGGCCCGGACACTCCCCAGACACCGGTAGATCCCTCCAGCATAGCCCTTTGGTGTCGGGGAGGTCCACGGGGTGATGGTAGTTGGCCCCGAGCCAGAACAGAGAATTAATGGTGGTGTCATCCAATGCCGTCGCCATGGCGAGCCCGCAGAATTCCCAGGCGTACTCGAAGAAGGGGAGATCTCGGCGGACTAAGGCGGAGAAACGAGAGGCGATTTCCATGATTTTTCAGTCTTGATCGGGTCTTCTGTCACGCTGCCTACTGTGAAGGAGCGAGGAGACGAATGAGATATATAAGAGAAAAAATATATATATATATATATATATATATATATATATATATATATATATATATATATATATATATATATCACTGTAAATTATTTTTCAAGGTTTTAAATAAATATTTTTGAAGTACTTTTTACGTACGTTGTACGTTTCAGTTTTTGTACTTCGAAATTTCATGTTTAATTCATTGAATTACTTGCCATTTATTTGTAATTATTTGTGATATTTGCTAGCAATTTCCTAGTGAAAGGTGTTTAAATGCCACTTTTACTTATTTAGATTGTAGAAATAATTTTATATTAATTAATTTGAACTAATCTAAGCAAAAAGTGCAATTTAAGGGACATAAAGGCAGTTTCATCTGAAAAACAGGGTGCACAAAATATACGTGTGAGATTCTTATATGAAGTGTCTTAATTTGTTAACTTTAACTTTAACAGCTCACTTCAGTCCAGCGCTCTTGAAACACTCAGATTTCATACTAGAGCTGCTCGTTCACTGCCGAGTGAGTACTCAAAGCCGCAGTTACAGTAATGTTATGACTCAGAGGTCACAGAAGAGCTGTGAATATTGCCCTTTTTCCTCCATTAAACGAGGATGAGCCACTGAAGTAAAATGCCGTCGCCATGGGGAGCCCGCAGAATTCCCAGGCGTACTCGAAGAAGGGGAGATCTCGGCGGACTAAGGCGGAGAAACGAGAGGCGATTTCCATGATTTTTCAGTCTTGATCGGGTCTTCTGTCACGCTGCCTACTGTGAAGGAGCGAGGAGACGAATGAGATTCCAAAATTATCACACACTTTATTTGCAACATAGAAAACCACACGTAGGACACAGGGATCGACGTTCATACAAGTAGACCCGGCAATTTCCTAGTGAAAGGTGTTTAAATGCCACTTTTACTTATTTAGATTGTAGAAATAAATGTAATAATTGAATAATATTTTATATTAATTAATTTGAACTAATCTAAGCAAAAAGTGCAATTTAAGGGACATAAAGGCAGTTTCATCTGAAAAACAGGGTGCACAAAATATACGTGTGAGATTCTTATATGAAGTGTCTTAATTTGTTAACTTTAACTTTAACAGCTCACTTCAGTCCAGCGCTCTTGAAACACTCAGATTTCATACTAGAGCTGCTCGTTCACTGCCGAGTGAGTACTCAAAGCCGCAGTTACAGTAATGTTATGACTCAGAGGTCACAGAAGAGCTGTGAATATTGCCCTTTTTCCTCCATTAAACGAGGATGAGCCACTGAAGTAAATGAGACATAACCGTCTTAATCATGCCTTTATATGAATCTCACTGCTCTTATAGGTTTTGTTGGCTTATACAGGACATACATTTATTTCAGGACAGTCCTTTTATGGAGATGAACTGTGCATGAGTAGAGAAATCAAAAACATACCTTTATGAAACAAAAACGTATGGGAATATGCTAGAAAATAATATAATACAAATTATTAAATAATAATAAAAAAATGTCAGTGTACTGCAAAGTACGCATGGACCATATATATATATTATATGCTCAGACAGTTATAAGTCTGATTGATTGTCTGACTGAGTTCTGTGATTGGGAGGAACATGTTCTCTGGATGGCTCAGAACGAGGCTCGAGCGTGTTCACGGATCGTCCAGTGTGTGGAGCGGATCGCAGACCTCGCGCTCAGCGCAAACACCACCCGCATCTCAAAGGTGACGCTCCAACAGCGTCTTATGACACATTTCATTAGGGAGGACTATTTTTCTGAAAAACTTTAAAACTCTTTTTTTTTTCTAAATAATAATTGAAAATGGAGCTTATTTTTTATTTAAATTTTGAAGCAGCTTAACAGAAAATGTGAGATCTAAAAAATTATTATAACCTGCATACAGAATCCTTATGTAATTTACTAATTTGAGAAAGAAAGAAAAATCTCAAAATATGTTTTGCTATAAGTTTGATTGCATCATATAATAATTGCTGTTAATAGTGTTCATCGTCTGTTTGATTACGTCTTTAATTGATTTTTCCGTACATTTCTGCCATATGTACATTAACTGACAGTCACCACTGATAAGCTACCACTAAATATTGTAGAAACTTAATTTGCTGTAAAGTTGCATCGTGAAAATAAATACAAATAAACTTGAATTGAATTGAATATTTAAAAAGACGTGAAAACAATACTGTGCATGGAATGCAAAAAATAAATAATTAAAATAATAATAAGTAAATAAATACATTTGTACATTGCAATGTTATTTTAGTATCATTGAGGCTATACTAGTTTTAGTAATATTTTGAATCGATTTTCTATTTTCATTTTAGTTAATGTGTTAGAAATGTTGTTGTGTTTTTTTATGTCTATATAGTTTTTAATATTCAGTTTTAGTTATTTTAGTAGAGTAAGTTGAACCAAATTAAAATGAGAAATGTTGCCTTAGCATTTAACTGAAACAGGTTTTTTATATTTTATTTTATTTCCATTGTTAGCGTTTATTTTATCTCAAGTAACTTTTTTTTATGGTTTTAATATTAGTTTTAGTTGGCTATAATTACCCTGCTAAACTGGCATGACTTTCTCTTGAGATTTTGCTCGTTAAACACTGATGTTAAGGGTTGTGCCGCTGATTTATTCCCTGATGTATTGAGAGTTGTGGGGATCCGTGGACTAATACATGCTGTCTGTATCTCAGGTGGGATTCTTGCGTCTAAATGTGTAAATATTGATGTAATGACGGACGCATTTGCCTCGGAGCTGTTATTCTGATAATGTAGGTTACAAACTGGCATTGTTAATGGAGTCTTTGTTTAGTCTTTTTATATTTTCATAATCAGTCCTTGACTCACTCAGCAGAACCTGGAACAATGAGTGCTGTTTATTTTCCAGCGAGTAATTGGTGTGAGGAAAGTGGGTCACGTGTCGTCCTGTGTGTGTGTTTGTGGCAGGTTTCGGCTAACATCGCTCTGGAGGCGCTGGCGCTGCGGCCTGACGCTCTCATGGGTTTATTGTGTACGGTGATGCAGCGGGCTCCTCTGCTGCGCCCGGTGGCCAATGCGGGTCACAGCGGCGCCGCATCCGAGCACAACACCCTCCTCAACTTCACATGCCACACGGTTAACATCTCCGGGTCACCCATGGGTCAGCTCAACCAGGTGAGGGTCGCCACAAACCATCCGATGTGTCCAAAAGCCATTCCACCACATATTCTCAGCTTTTTACTTGGATTAAAAGAATTAATGTTTTATGCATTTACCGTCTTTCTTTTAAATCGTCTAATTATGTTCAATATAATATGTTATTTAAATGTTGTAATTTTACCATTTTACACCTATGTATTTTTAGGTTAAACGTTAATTTTTAATGTTTTATAATTGTTATAAAATAAAATGTGTTTTTTTAATATTTTGATATTTTACATTCTCTCTTTTTTATATCTTATTTAAATCATGCGATTTTTATTTTTATTTTTTTTCATTTTAGAATTATAAATGTTTGGAATTGTAAATGTTAATTTAAAATAAATAATGAAATATTGTCGTTTTTTTTAGAATGTTAAACTATTTTACAATTTATATATATTTTTATAAACTATAATTTTTTTTTATTTAATTTTTAAAAGTTTTCCATTTGAAAATGATAAATGTTTTCGATTTTAAATATTCATTATTAAATATTTCATTATTTAAAAAAATATATATAATTGTGAAATATTTTATAGTTCTTTATATATTTTTTATATTCTATAATTTTTTTTACATTTTATTCAAACGTCAGAAGCAGGACAAAACTGTTTTCCCAGATGAGAAAGACTGTACATTTATATCTGTTTTCCCAGATGAGAAACACTGTACATTTATACTTATATTCTATATATTCTATTTATTGTTTTTATAATTGCATATTATTGTGTGACACTCTTTGAACACATGAGTATCACACAGTATTTCTGAGAGTGATGCCGGCGTCTGTGGTGTCCGGATGGATAGAAACAGACAGGATTGCTGTGTTTTTCATAGCTTTCTCTTGACTTATTGTCACAAAAACTAAAACAGGAGTGTGGTTTTGATGGGCTGAAGCTCCTGAAGGTGTTAATGACATCTGCGGCTCTGTCTGGACGTCCAGCTGTGAGTTCAGGAGACCAGACTTCAGTCCACAATCACACTGAGACTCACAGCTGACCCGACTGACTGAAGCACTGCTGCACAGATGTGTGGTCGTGAGATCAAATAAAATAAAATATTTTAATATAAAAAAAAAAAAAAATATATATATATTTTAAAATAAAATATTTTAATATAAAATAAATGAATATAAAATAAATATGATTTAATATTATATTATATTATGTTAAATTATGTTAAATTAAATTATATAAAATCATGTGTTATGTAAGGCTCGTCCCTACTACATTTATAAG